GCTGCCTAATTTGAAATTAAAATCAAAATCTATTCTCTATCAGTAGCTGAAGATATAGTAGCATTTAGAAGCCAATGATTATCTGAACATTTTAAAGGCTTGCCGCTTAAATGAGAAGGTGGAGAATCCCCGCTGAACATACAAAACACCTTGTAATCGATGTAATCGATGCTCTTTGTTCTATATTTTGGACAAACATGATATTTTCTAGACATGCATGTATTCGAGGCATTGGCAAATTGACTTATATTTACATCGAAGATCTATTTTTTTATATAATATTGGGGGTAGCAAACTAACAATATGTTGCCAAGTGTGAAATGACAAGGGTTGAGGATAACAAGTCAAGAGTAAGAGTAAAGTGATGAGGGTCGATGATATTACATAAAGTATAAGGGTAAAAGGACGATGGTCGAGGATAATACGTCAACAGTAAGGGTAACATATACAAAACCTTTCTCATTATATACAGATTTCGGCAGTCTTATGTATTATCGGTGCGAGTAAATGAAATATTCATAGTTAGTAGAACAAATTTACGTATAGTCGATGTACTGTCCTTTGTGTGTGGGTTACTTTTCATATAACTGTATATGTGTAACAACACATTTCATAATTACCTCTATTGTCAGTAAATAACTAATCAGATGAAAATATTATGTATGGCTTACAACACTTGTAGCCTAACTCATTTACTCGCATTGATGAATGATATATACAAATAAGACTGCCAAAACATGCGCAAAAAAAGTTTGCATTTTACATTCAATTTGCAAATGCCATTAATGTATGAAATGCCATTAATGTATGAAAAGCATTTTCTATAAAGTAAAAATGTCTTCCTATGTATGCAGATAAACCTTGAAATTTGGCAAAACAGCAAAGTATTTTTCATGATCACTAGGTATTTTTTTTGATGATCATTCTAATTTCTAAAGTAAATTATTTCAGATTTACATTCAAACGAGCTTTGATCATATGAAAAGACATTTATCTTAACCAGTAAGCATGACACATGAACCAATTTTAACATTCATGTAATTTTATGATTGAAGGCATTTTAGTTACATTCTGTTTGTATTTGATAATACAATGCTACTAGTGATTGCTATATAGCATACCTTGCATATACTTACAGAAGATAATAGTCTAGTGAAATTCCTAGTAAACATTAATGGGATTAAGCTGTCTATAATTGCAAATTTTCACTCTGATAATTTTAGGTTAATCGTAGGCAGAAAAAAATTTTGAGTTTTTTCTCAAAAGGTGAAGTAGCTGGCACTGTATGTGGAGACGGGTAAAGGGTTACAATAAACTTGCATGGTTTGAAGTCTGTACTTTTCCACATCTATGAACTGTCCCTTTTAGTACCAAATTACTAACTTAACTTATTAAATAGAGGTTTGAATTAGGTTCCCTAGGGGGGTTTATGCCTGACAACTTGGTAGAAATTTTTAAGGACTATGTCTTTTTTGGAATAACATTATTGTAAAATAAAGTTTATGTTCCTAGACATGCTAATGAGCCATATATTTGGCATGATAATGAGCCTAAATATTTGGCATGATAATGAGCCTAAATATTTGGCAAGACATTCAAGTATTGTTCACTTCAGATATTTTTTGGAAAAAAACGTAAGCAAAATCTGTTGTTTTTACGCAGAAAACGAAGCCCACAAAATACATTTTGTATTGTCCTAAAACGCTGAAAATCGCATTTCCAAGACTTTGAAATTCACAATTTTCTCAGGGGAGAAGGCCTCTTACCCCCCTCCCCCCCAGGTGCGGAGGGCCTCTGACGTTTTATGACTGATGTTTAAATATTCCTAGATCCGCCCCTGGTAGAGGCAAATCTTTTCAGAAACGGAGGAAAAAATCTCCGTATTTTTATAAATCCGTATACGTGTGGACATGGCCAAAGTGAGAAAGAAGGGTGGAAGTGTTAAAACGACAGTTGAATTGTAAACACCATTGCAAGCATTAACGTTTTGATGATTATTTTCATTTTGCCCAATTCATATATCAATACAACAAAATCAAAATGTGCGATAACTTTACAAGTATTTGATTCAGTTGTACTTCAGAACATCACAAAAAGGTTACTTAAAGTAATTTCTATACAATATTGTTCGTTTTCATTTATAAGACCTATGCGAACTTGACTCTTTTTGAAATTTAATATGAAACTCAATTACAGAAAATCCGTAAATATCCAGAGATTTAATACCCACTTTTTTAAAGCAACAAGAAAAAATCCTACAATTGTGGCGAAAAAGCCATCGCCCATTGCATGAAAAGAAGCAAAATAGCAATGATAGCAAATAAGCTAACTTCTCTCTCGTGAACCGTGGAGATGAACTGTGATATACTTTTTTTCTATAGACTAAAAACTTTAATCGATCAAACAAGTTTGACGCTGGTAACGTACATCTGCATTCATACATGTGTAGCCGACATATAGCTCTTTCGTCGATAGTTATAAAAAACATCCTCGTAGGAACAGATAACGGACAACCACAGTTGACTCGCTGTTATGAGTTTAAGGTTTTTACCTTGATTTTCATCAAAAATTGCTTGCCGAATCCCAAATACACATATACATTTTCCTCACTCTTTATTCAGGAGGGAGTGGGAAATTGTGAAATTTTCAGAAAAGCGGTCAATTTCGGTGAATCTCAGCGGCAAAGGACGAAATCCTCCATTTTATTGGCGTCATCCGATCATTGAATTATAAATGTACTGACATTATACGGCCCTCATATCTGTTTTAGCCCTCAATGTTAGCTAATATGGCTAGCAATTTCAAAAGCCAAAACGACCTCATGGGGCTAAAATGGCCCATTTCTTTTTACTGCATGCAGTGAAAATCCTTCGAACTCACAATGGCAAAGATCTTACAAACAAAGCACTGAAAAATAAAGTTAAAAATTTGCAACAATTGAGGAGAGGAAAAAAGAAAATCGGCAACATGTCAGATATAATCAACAAATTGAAAGATGACCTTGTTATAAAATCTGAAATAGCAAATATGTAAATTACATGAATCATTTGATACAATCCACCTATCTTTTTTCTTTACAATGCTTAGAACAATACTACCATCTCTCCAACTGGCAGAAGATATACCGATGACATTAAGGAATTTGCTTTGACACACTATTTTTATTCCCCTAAAGGCTGCTTTCCACTGTTGCGTTTTTTTTCCGTGCGTACATCCATAGATAAAAACGCACGGATTTTTAATCTCCAGTGCTGCGTTTTGCGTTGTGCATAAATTTAATGCGTGCTGCAATTCAAAATGGCGTCGAAAGAGGAGCGAAAATTAGCAATTCTACTTTTGCTTCGCCAAAGACGAAAACGAAGGAATAAATACAAAAAAAGGTTTTGGATTAAAGATATTTTAAAACGGCGAAAAGAACTGGGGGAATACCATCGGCTCATTCAAGAAATGCGGTTAAATGATCCTGAATCATTTTATCAATACTTTCGGATGACCCCTTCGCGGTTTGATTTACTTCTTGGTCTGGTTGGGCCATACTTGAAAAAGAATTCCTTATACCGCGAGCCTGTGAGTCCTGAAGAACGCCTCGCTGTTACTCTTCGCTTTTAGCGACAGGCGACTCTCAACAAAGCATAGCATTCAGTTTTCGACTTGGCCATGCTACTGTGACCAAAATCGTAGAGGAGTCTTCCGAAGCTTTGTGGTCTGCGTTGCAACCGTTTATCAAGCCTCCAACGACAACAAGCGAATGGAAAAAATCGCAACAGATTTTGGCAGTTGTGGAACTTCCCAATGTGTTGCGGTGCCATTGATGGCAAACATGTAGTCATGCAATGTCCCCCTCGGGCTGGTTCGTCATTTTTTAACTATAAAGGTAAATAAGAGTTCTTAGATAACGATATACATTGTAAATTTGCTGCTTACATGTTGGACAAGTCAAGTGAAACTGCATGTTTGTGAATATTGTGATTAAGCGAGTATGATTTTTTAACAATTTTTTATTTCCATTTAGGAACACATAGCATTGTTCTGTTGGCAGTTTGTGATGCTAGGTACTTGTTTACTCTAGTGGAAATTGGCAGCTCAGGCAGAAATAGTGATGGAGGTGTTTTTGGTGAGTCTAAATTTGGAAGAGCCATTGAAGATGGCAGTTTAAAGTTACCATTTGCAGATCCCCTTCCAAATAAACCAACAGAAGTTTGCCCATATTTATTCACTGCTGATGATGCATTCCCCCTTAAACCATGGATGATGAAACCCTACCCAGGAAAATTTCTTGATAAAAAGCTCAAAATATTCAATTACCGTCTGTCACGAGCAAGGAGAGTTGTTGAGAATGCATTTGGAATCACTGCAGCTAGGTGGAGAGTGCTAAGAAGACCTATAATGGCTTCAGCTAAAAAGGTGGCAAGTATAACTAAAGCAGTCTGTGCACTTCACAATTACCTGATGTTAGAAGAATTCGGTATTCCTAATTCATCAAAAAGGTATTGCCCAGCTGGATTTGTTGACACAGAAGACAGGTATAATTGCTATTTTCTCCGGTTAAAATAACTTAAATCTTGAGCTTATAAAATGATGTTTTTTCTCTTAGTATATTTTATCTTATAGTTACTATAGTATATGCAAGTTTTGAATGCCTGTATCTAATTTTAAGTCAGTTGGTTATGGTCTTATCATCTTAAGCATCTACCACTAGTCACTATATGAAATGTGCATGATAATACAACTAAATGAAATTGCCACAGTATTCGATAACCTAAAATGTTATAACTAAAGAAATTTTTATAGGTATGGACAGAACCTGCCAGGAGGATGGCGATCTTTGACAGAAGGAGACACGGGTCTGCAACAAATTTCACGACAAGGAAGCAATAACTATTCACGAAATGCCAAATCTGTGCAAAATTTACTGACAAATTATTTCTGCTCACCAGAAGGGAAGTACCTTGGCAATATGCGTATGTGCAAAATAATGGTAGACAAGAAAAATAAACCTGTTTCTGTAAAACAATTTTACATTTATAATATCATCTTATTAATAAGTTGTATTTATTTAATTAGCAAATGTATGTTTCAACTGAACAAAGAATAATCTGTTTCTTACAAACATCAACGACTTTTCTAAGTAACTTGAAAGTTAGTTCAATAACTTAAGTTTTCCACTTCATTTTACTTTACATCCTTCTCATGCTAACTGTTTGTTGACATTGAAGAGATTGCTTCACTTAAAACAATTTGAATTTTACTCATTGCCTTACTTTTTGCTTCTTTATCCAACAAATGTAGCTGAGCAGCAACACTTTTACCAAATGCATCTTCTATAGTTACCATAGCTGATTGATTTTGCAAGGATTTCTCACCACCAGATATATATTCCATGATTTTTACATCCAAGGCCCGATCAAGTTGCTTTTGTGACATTGCTGCATAAGACCTTTTCTTACTTGGTTGTTTTGAAGCAACATTTTGAACGTTTTCAATAATCTCAAACGAAGGGAAAGATTCTTGAGAAAATGCCTCAATACCAACCGTTAAATCATCAGTAGAAGGTTCAGATGTGATGGTAAGTGGATCTTGGCATGGACTTGAAAGAACAACTGGTTGGAAATTGCTGTCCGAATTCTTTGTTCGAATATTAACATAAGGTTTCAGAAATGACATTGCCAAAAGGTATGGATAATGTGGAATTTCATCCACACCTGCTCCACTTTTTTTCCCATTTCCACTTAACACACGGACATATGAATCGCGTAGGTTTTTCCAAATTCTGTCTCTGTAGTCGTTTACTGGGTCAAAAAATATTTAAGAATACACTTCGTTTATTACAACACAACACAACATATGCATTTATATTACCTGAATACGTTGATTGACAAGCTGCATTCACAGCATCAGTCACTATTTGCCACGCATTTTCCTTAATATTTTTGTTCTTATAGTTAGTGTCTTTTGTATTCCAAAGCGCTGGGTATTTTTCAATTTCTTCAATAAGTTTCTCCTCAACTTTTGTATATTTTCCCATCTTTTTTCAACTTGTAAATCAATTGGCAAAAGCATGCTTCATTGTAAAGCACGTGATCTGTAAATTCATTTTCATTGGATAATTGCTCGCGTTTTTCAATTTTGCTGCGTAAAAGTTAAGTTGTGCTCAACTTGTGCGTTTACGCGCTTGGGGGATACGTACGGAAACGTAAGGGTACGCGCGTTGAAAAACGCAACAGTGGAAAGCAGCCTTAAAGCTTACTAATATGTTCGCTCAATAATCCCATTGCCAAAGCCATCAATGATTAGAAAGTGGTCTTCCTCTTTGGACTGTGAACCTGGTTTTTTGGAAAAGGCTTTAAGTCATTAGAACAGGAGGTAAAGAGCTCACCAGCAAAAAAAGACTGCTGTCTAATGATTGATGCCATGGCCATTCGTAAGTAAATTATAGTCGACCGAAAAGATAAAGAAAAGTATATTGGATTTATCCATTATTGACCTATAACACCAGAAGACCCCGATACTGTGGCCACTGAAGCACTTGCATTCCTCTTGGTTGGAACAAGAACACATTGGAAGTGTCCAGCTGCCTACTTCTTATGTGATAAGATGTCAGCAAAGACACAAGCACAGCTTATTAGAATGGCCCTTGTACAGGCTGCAGAAGCAGGGTTACGTGTCTGGAGTATAACAGCAGAGTTCTCACAAAATCTGACAAACTTTAACGATATAAATTTATTGTCATTATCAATAGACACTATTTTTGATAAGAACACAATATCTTTGACAATTTGCCAAATTTTTCGTGAAGATTACGATTATGACACATAATTTTTGATGGATGTTTTGCCAGCTATTCTGATAAGGAGGTTAACATGTTTTTATTTTTCTTCAAACGAGGAAGCATCGATCAATGGAAGTGCATGTTTTATTGTTTTCTCGCCAATAGCTTAATTGACTCACATCAAGAGTACGACAGATTTTCATATTTGAGTAATTTGACACACTATCTAGTCCTCTAACTCATTACAAGAATCAAAATAGGTATATGCAATAATATTTCTTCTTCACAAAATCAGTAAAGTCTATGTCGCACGTTTGATGCAGTCGAGACAAAAGTAAAAATCATTTATGACACAACCAGAAGATAAAACACTGCAATGTTAAAGCTAAAACAACACACATATGTTGTAACAATTTTAAAGAAAAACAAATTTATACAAAGACAATTTCCTACAATAAAATACCAACATGTCAAATTTATGCTGAGTTAGTAGAATCGAACATTAGCTTTCCTAATGTAAGCTCGTTAAATGTCTGCCCTTTTTTTGAAAAGCAAACCCAGAAAAGAAAGGAAACATATTTTCTTGGAGTGTATAAATAAAAAGTCTTCATAATTCTATTGTGAAGACTGACATAGATCATTGAACTAAAATACATGGAACGCTACTGGAAGCAAATAATTGAAGCCAAATCTTACACTCAGACAGGAGTGTTAAGTGTTTTGAGATTCTCTCGCGGGGTGAAAATTGATTGACTACACACGCGAGTCTGGGTGTAAAAGTTGCCTTCAAAAAATTATTAGGCTTTTTTATTACAGGTAGCGTTCCATGTATTTTAGTTCAAAGACATAGATACACCGTATTTATTCGTTTGAGCATCACTTCCCGAAAGAGCATCTCCTCGAATAAGCGCCGCATTTTGAATCGAACTGAGAAATTTTTGAATCAACCTGAGAATTTTTTTTGTAAAAACATAGCAAAAACGTGTTGAAAATTGTTGTTAAAATTTTTCGTAACAACGCACATATTAAAGATCTTTTTAAAGAGCATCGCATCTAAAGTTTTAAAAATTTGAAGAGCGACACGGCGCTCAAACGAGTAAACACGGTTCTGTTATTACAACTATACTATTTAATAAACCATGTAAACTACAGCTTGAAACAAAATGAAAGTACAATTGTTCAAAATTCTAAAAATAAACCATCGCAAAATTGACTTCCAGTGATTCTCATAACTTGATGTTGCAAATGCAAGTTCAAGCCTTTTTTGCTGAAACTGATTTGTGATCGAAGCACTTTAACTCTGGAACCAGTATTGCTAGAGCTTTGTCTAAATATTCAGGACATTTTGCTGTCATTGTCTTATTTCATATGAAAAACCCACAACACTTTGTTCATTAAATCACAGTCGTTTGGTTCAAAATTGTTTCATTACGTAAGCGTAATGTTAACATTTTCTTTTCTTTGCTGTATTTGTAAGTACCATAAACTCGTCCGTATAAGATGATAATTTTCAAGTTTCAGTCTTATTAAAAGTGAGCAAAATGAGCAATCACCATCACAAAAAATATTAAAACTAATTGTGAGCAAGATGACATTTCAAAGAACGCGTGACGAGGATGACTTCAAAATTACATCAGGCTCTTTCCTCAAATGAAGATGTTCCTTCTTGCACCATCGTTTGAATAAAGAATAAACGATGAAATTTTATATAGACAAGCCATAAACATATCACAATTCAGCTGAGCAGTTTGCAATGTATAGGTCCACTGATGTTCAAGTTCACAATGTCTTTGTTTTCAGCAAATTTCTTTCGTTAAAAAACAATTCCCATGAACTATCCATTCGTAAAGACAGGTGTTCAAACGATAACAATTTATGACAGCAGTTTTTTATTACAGTGATGAACGCGTCGTAGAACATCCCTCACAGTCGATTATTTTCTTTCTCTCTTCTTGTAAAACATTAATAACTTTTGTTTTCTTTTCATTCCCGTTCAACAACACAAAGTTTGGAGTGTTTAGCCACGATGGTTAGATAGTTTATCACGATGATAAATGTCAGTCAAAAAGTCATTTTAAACTTGAGTCGAATATTTAGTGGCGAAGGCTGCCAAATGTTTCGTCTTGCCAAAAAATTTAGCAAAGCCACCTTTCACCTCATCATGAATTTATGTTTCAAGTTTTGCATAAATTTCTTTCTGCTGATTTTTAAGAGATCGCTTCTGTGAAGCGTAATGACAACTCAATTTACGTTTAGAAATATACGTCGGTCCAAGCATTGCATTTCAACTTTTGTCAAACGTTTTCTTTCATTTTGACGATTTTTTTTGGGAGATCATGCTTATAATCAGAAATAAATTTATGAAAAACAGAACTTTTATAACTCGTTATATAACAAAGAACAACCAAGAAAAATGACCTTTCGGGTCTTAGAAAATAAAGAGCTTTAGATTTGGCTACTTGTACGACTATCGCTACGAAATTTGACCACAAATGACTTACCTAGGTTTCATAAACAAGTTGCTGTACGCGTAATCAAGCAGATTGTTGTTAAAACGATAAATACTAGTACGATTACAAACAACAAGACTTTATTTTTTTATAGTTTGTCAAATTGTACTGGGGTGAATCGTTTTTTGATAAACACATTCACCCACGAACGCGATTGTGACGTAAAAACAGTTCTGTAGTAAGTAATGAAAACTCTACATCACTAATTTCATATTTCTTTTTAAATCTTTTAAACAATGTTAAAGATTTTCTTATATCGTAAAATCTAAATAGTTACCAAAAAATTAATTTTCTATGATTACTGAATACAGCAACTTGTTTATGAAACCTAGGTAAGTCATTTGTGGTCAAATTTCGTAGCGATAGTCGTACAAGTAGCCAAATCTAAAGCTCTTTATTTTCTAACAAAATAAGATGTTCTTCAATGAGAACACTAGCACACGACCGCATCTGTAAAATTTTGCAACCATCTGCGGCGAGTTTCTTTATATAACGACCGCACGGCCATGTTACGGCACTCACAATGCACAAATTCTAGCTATTTGGAGTCCCGTAACGCGGACACATATAGCACGTTAGATGACGTTTTGTATTATATTTAAGGTGGCTCGATAGGCAAAATTCGCCATTTCCAAAAGCTTATTTTATCATTAAAGAATTATTGGAATGCCATGATTTTGGGGACAGAAACAAAACTCTTAAGCAAATTAACCATAAAAAATTGGTATATATTCATACAATTCTAAAAGTGTAGTGACCTGGTTGTTGAGCCTGTTTTTCCGGCAATGAAAATTATGGGGTCACAAGAAACTTACTATTGGCAAAACTATAATAGGTGTGGTTCCCAATCTTTTATCATATTATAAACAATCATTGAGCTATGCAAGTAGCTATGCATAATAAAGTTGAGATACATCATTATACATGTTTTGTAATAAAATTAAGTTTTATTCGCGAGGTGAGATGATTCTCACGCAATTCACCAGGACTTGTAAGCCAGAAAAGACGGTAAAAACAAGTTTGCGTTTGCGGCTGAAATGTAAAACTCTAGGACGTTCGTGCATATGCAGGAAATGTAATTCTTTAATCTCAAAACACTTTTTCAAGTCAATCAATGTAAAGTGATCCGTAATTATAAATCTATCGTCCAAAAAGACAAACTTAGAAAAAGATAAAAACTTAGTTAAACTGAAAATAACTTGTATGTTTTCAACGTCAAATACTTTCATATACATACATTTGTAACTTATTAATAATTTATCTGCTGATGGTGAAAACACAGCGTTATCGATGCTGGTAGTCTGCCACCTATTTTCACCTGCGAAATCTTCATAAAAACAACTACCTTGTGCTAGATCTTCTTTGGTTGTCATGTATTCCTTCTGAATGATGTAACTCCAACCTTCAACTAATTTGTCTTCATGCCACATTTTGTAAGTTATTTTACTTCCAAACCTAGTTTTAGCAAACACATGATACTTAGAACTACATGCAAGTACGTGAACATTTTGATAACTTTCAAAATTTACTGTCATTTCTTTTCGCTTGTTCTCTATTTTAAAAAAAACAACAGAGTTAGTTCTTTTACAAGCAATTAATTCATCACTTACGTCAAATATTTTGTTTGTATTTTTTAGTTCATCAAAACTACGGAGAAGTTTTGTCAAATCATAATTCCATAACTCTGGATAATTTTTTTCCGTGAGCAAAATGACTCCATTTTCCACAGCAACCATGTCTTGAAAAAGACATTTCTTGACAATAAAGTCACCTGTGTTGAGGTTGTTGATAATTACCTTTGAATTTTTTTGGTCACTCAGATACAAAAAGTTTTCATTTGAGAAAACATTCGTGTTACGAATTACATGGTAAGAATTTATTAAACGTGCCCGTGCCACTAAAATAAGATAAGAGTCGAATCCATAATGAAAAAGAAGAACATTGTCATCACTTAAGATATAATAATAATAATTTACTTCTAAACCTTCAGAAAAACGTGATCTGTTGTCATCAAATGGATCAAGTGGATACAAACAACATGAGAGATTACGATCAAAATCATCAAAATTCTCACCAGTAGGATTTACAATAAAAAATTTCTCACTGTTAAGCCCTTCATAACTACAACACCAAGAATGAAGACCAACAGTGAACATAATAAGAGGCCTATCACAAGGTGAATAATCGTCAAAACCCATGTTTCGTAATTATTCGCTACATCAAATATTCTAAACACGTACTTTTCACTAATAACACCCAAATATCTTTCGGACTTGGAAAAACAGAGTGAGACAACATTATTGCATCTAAGAGTGTGTTTCTTCTCACCTTTCTCAACTTCCCATACTGTCAAAGTATCTTTGTAACTAGTGACCATTGTGTACTTATCCTTCGAAAAACATTTGTTAGTGAAGAACTTTAACGTAGTATCATCGCAATGGAACGGACTGGAGGAAATTCTACCATTTATATCTAGTACCATATCAAGTTGGGAAGCAAAAATCAAATCTTTGAAAGGATGAAAGACAACGCAAAATTCTTCCCGTTTTAAGTGTTTTAACTGAGTAACGATATTTTTTATCCATAAACACCTGTTTTTTCTCAGTGAAAAAAGTTGCACGATGAATTCTTCATAACCGCAAACGATATAATCATGATTTTGCGAAACATCAACCGAAATCAAATTTTTACCTAAACGTAAAAGTTGAGCGTTGACTACACCCATGTTGAAGCGTTCTAGATAATGGGATTCTTTAAAACGTGTTTCGAGCATTATGAGAGCTTGGGGCGCAAGATCGGTGATTTCGTTGACAACATGCTGCAAAAAAGTTGTTATATCATTCATAACCACCGCAAATTTACCGAAAAGCAACGTACTAAGGCAATAAAGATCATTAAATAACAATCGAGTGGCCTCAGAAAGATGAAAGTATACGTCATGGGTGACAATTAAGTTGAAGTTTTCCAAAATACGATCTTTATCAACAAACAAAGTGGCAACTAAAATTTCTAAGTCAACAAGATATTTACTAACATTTTCAACAACATTATCATTATTGATAATTGTAAGCATATGAGACAACCAATACTTAACTGAGTACTTAACTGATGCACGCTTAATTATGACATAGTCAACGCCGGTAGCTTTAAGTTCATCGAGTGTTTTCAAACAAAATTCTAAAATAAGCGAATTACCATCATCTCTATCAACTGAGTAATTATGTTTAATATCATCGACCAACCAATCATTTAAAGATTTGTGAAAAAACGAAACGCATCCATTTGCTTCGATAACAAACAAGCATGATATAATTCTTCTAAATTTAGCTAATGAGCGTTTCAAGCAAAGCTTATTCTCAATTATATCGAACGGAAGTGGTTCTTTGGCAACAACTAAAGCATTTAGAAATGACTGAAATTTTTCTTTACTGATTTTAAATGTTTTTAATTCACTAATTAATCTTTTTAAGCAGTTTTCATAATGATCATTTAGATCTTTCGGTATGGATGCACTCAAAAAACCTTGACTTTTGACTTCCTTACAGAGAAGAGATGCAAGCAACATAAGTCCGTCAGCTTTCTTTATTAAATCATTTTTTAAATGCATAAGGCTGTCAGTAGAGCCAATTCTTTCATCGATCAATAATTTGATGTCATTTAAGTTACGATCATCACGGCAATTAATAAACAGTGGATTTAATTTTTGGAGCTTGCTTAAACAGGTTTCGTTAGGACTTGTTGTAATTACAAAGCGAAAGCAAGGCGGAAGTTTGTGTAAGTGATTAGCAATCAAATTAGTAAGGCCATCTCTTTCGGAATGACACATTTTATCCAAAGCATCCAGCACAATGAGAATTCGCTTGGGAAGTTCAACGATTTTAGAAAACAACTCAGTAAAAAGCAAGGTAAATAATCCTTCCATGTTTATTTCATCCAAAGGCTCTGAGAGTTTTCCAGAAACTTTTTGTTCAAGAAGTTGTTTGTAAGCAGGAAAAGTATGAGCAATTTGAAAGGCTAAAGATTGAAGAAGTACTTTGGCTTCATTAAAACGGCTGTTTTTGTGTTCAAAAAAATGAACAGCATTCAAATATTGAGGATAACGTTTACATAAGGTAGCTGCAATTACAGATTTACCCATGCCGGCAGCAGCGGAAATAACAAATGCACGATTTCTGGATGTATCGCAATCGAACCAAGCTAAAAACTCATCAAAAACCCATTCCCGCGTTCCTTCTAAAAATTGTTCATAGTGATGCGTAATTTCACTCTCGAAGTCTAAACTCACAAGTTTTTTCGACAAAACATCTTCCACATTCTTCAATTGATCTATTTCTCCCTGAGTTATTCCTAAGCGAACTAATGGTTCGCTTACTTCCACCCAAAAACATTGAAAGTCATCAAAGCTTACTGAAGTTTTAGGTAAGTGAGCGAAACGATCATTGCGAAATAACCTGATACGGGTAATATCTGCTTCAGTTGAATGATCAGTAGGATTAGGAATGTTGTTCCAAATTGAATCACGCGGTGGTTTTAAATTGCAAATATTGCGCAGGAGAATACAAAGTAAAGTAATGTCAAAATCATTTTCATTTGGCAATGTTGGAGGACTAGGATAAAGTAAATCCCACTGTTCTTGACCAATTTGTTTATTCTTTAATTTCGAAAGTTTTGCCTTATTTGTTTTTAAGATATGACATAAATCAATACCTGACAGTTGTTTTTTCAATGTGATTCGCAAAGCCTCACCACCAAGATCAACAATTAATCTCATCAACTTAAACGCATTTGCTTTGTCTTCTGAGCTCTCTGAAGCAGTCATCATTTCAAAATCTAGAATGATGAATTCTATAATGAGATTTACACATTCACGACAAAAAATGAATATCAGAGCTACAGCAAAAGATCTTAAAATGCAATACTTATGTGAGTCAGTTTTAAAAATACTAAATAATACTTTTTAGAAAATAGAAGAACTTCATTAACTTAGATCATTTCAAGACATATTGTCCAAAATTCTTTTTCAACACTGTCTGAAAAGTGCAATTGATAAATAAAACACCGTATTATAGAAAACACAAAGTTAACAAAGTTATAATTTTCTTTTTTTAGAAGTAAAATAAGTAGGTATCCGTCATTTTGGTTCCAATTAGAATCAGTCCTTGCAAAGATCGAGTCTAACTAAAAGTGTATCGAAAGAAGAATAGTAGTATTCATTTTTATTCATTTCTTTTAAAAATTCATTGTATTCATTGATTTTCATGTGAATGGAAGTAAAAATATTTGTATTGCATAGCAAAATAATGAGCTGTGTTTGCTGGTCTGTAGTAAGATCTAAAAACATTTTTAATAAAATACTTTGCCACAGAATGCTCTTAAATACATCTAATAACACGCTTTAGGGTATTTCTCGACTGTGATTAATTGATTTTATCGGTAGCTCCGTATAAAATACACTGTAAAAATGCGAAACAACCCAAAGCTACAGAAACATTTACACGATTTGGAGCAAGAAGAGAAAGTTGGTGACAATATCAACAAGCAACTTGCTGATATTGTCTACAAACGATGGTAAACAAAGCTCCCAGATGCAAAACAAATAGAAAAAATGGATAAATATTCCAGGCAAAGCAGCAGTGACAAATTTGTTTTTCTTCGAGTTTAAAATAATTAATTATAGGGGCTGATCTAGGGTATGTCCAATCAGTCACGCGATTGATGTTTAGAGCTCAAAAATTATTTATCAAATTTAATGATTACAATTTTTTTTTGATTATTAAATTTTCGTTCTGTAATCATTTGGATTTCATCGTCAAAATTCTGTTTTATGTATAAAAACTCATACAAATACCACTTTAGTAAACAGATCAGTAGATAAAAACATATCTAGAATTACATTAACTGGCTGATTGATAAGAGGGTGGCTCGACTGGTTTGACTGATAACGGAGTTCAAGAACGCTTATTTAAGCCATTCCATTGGTCAATAGCCAGATCAGTGGATGATCTTGAATAATCTCGACGGATAAGCTGGGTGGCCGGACCGATAAGGGAGTCCAATTGCTATCGCGTAATTGGTTCGTTTAAATTTTTGTCTTACTGTGATTGGTTTTACCGATTCCGACTGATAACCAACTGAAGTAACATAGTCAAGACCACTGTCTGAAATGAATGTTTGAACGTTTCATAGTAATTTTCTAAAGTATGAGAGAAACTACAATCAAATGAGTCACTTTTAAAAATACTAAATAATACTTTTTAGAAAATAGAAGAACTTCATTAACTTACATCATTTCAAGACATATTGTCCAAAATTCTTTTTCAACACTGTCTGAAAATTGCAATTGATAAATAAAACACCGTATTATAAAAAACACAAAGTTAACAAAGTTAAAATTTTCTTTTTTTAGAAGTAAAATAAGTAGGTATCCGTCAATTTGGTTCCAATTAAACTCAGTCCTTGCAAAGATCGAGTCTAACTAAAAGTGTATCGAAAGAAGAATAGTAGTATTCATTTTTATTCATTTCTTGGTTCACAAGAAAATCTACCGGTACAAAATCTGAGTGGTCACTGAAAATTGAGCTTGATGAAAACTGTCGCGATTTTGAACGTTGTCGAGCACGCAATGTCTTAGCTTACTTGGAAAATTCGGAATGCATTCTCTTTTTAAATAGCATACAAACATATCTGCCCGTGGTTAATTCTTTCTTCGGTGGCTCATTTGCTGGACTAATTCGAGGTGCTATTCGCGGCGTTTTAGAATATGAATAAAAATTTTCTTCCTTTCTATAGTAGCTATACTATACATATGATAGCCACACAAAAGCAGTGAAAAAGAAATCAAATAAATTGAAGGTTGACCATGAAAAAACACAACCGTGTGTATGGTGAGCTGATGTTGAACTAAAGTATTGTTGTTTGTTATTAGATTATGACGTTGTATTTTGGAAGTTATTCTTCGCTAGTTGTGCAAGTTATGAGGTATTAACTATAAAGCATTGATCGATCGAAAGTTCTGTGTTAAAAATATAATTATATACGCTTTGCATTTTTTTGAGCTCGTTACAGCAACTACAGAAATTTAAAGGTGAACTCATACATTTGGATTATTTTTGTTTTACATAGGTATAATTTTAATGCAAAGCGATAACTTGCATTCATGCATACGGTGGTTAAATGTGAGGAGAGTAAAAATCCATAACAAGTAAAATTCGAGGAATGTGTTATACATATAAAATAGGAACGTTTTATGAATGTTGTACGAATGTTAGATAAACGTAAGATAAACATTGAAAATGTGTTATATCCCAACATTAATCTTAACGTCGTTACACGTTTCCTACGAGTTCAGAAAGTTTACTCAATGTGTGCAGCAATTTTTCTCTTTTCGCGTTAGCACAAAGCAGTTATGCGTCTGCCGATTCGTTTTAGTGACTGTATGCTATCCAATTTTAATGCGCAGTCGACACACAATTTTTAATTTTACATATAACTAATCCAATGTAACTATTCTACATCACAAATAAACATTTCAAGCTTTTACATTCACATCCAGCAACAGAAAGAAGACTGACAACTTTTACGTGTGACGACTAATATAGGTTTTCATAAGGTTCCTATTTCCGTTCTTCCATAAATTTAGTATCGATTACAATTATCTATTATTTATTTACCTACAATGTCAGACCTCAACGTTGTGTAAACGTTGGATGAACGTTAATACAACGTTTATACAACGTGATTTTGCCAACATCAAATGCATGTCTGAAACCATTATAACACTGTCCTGCACATATCGATAACATAAAGCTATACGCGTCATTCACAAGTCGTAGCAAATTGACTACACTTTATAATGAATATACAACTTAACTTGCTAGAAGTAAGATGTTTTGCATAGTTTTATAAACGTGTTGAACATAATGATTCAAATTTTCAATCCAACGTATTGTTTGATAATTAACTTAAACAAATCATTTTTACCTTTACTGGTACAGCGAGAGGAAATTCAAACTACGTCGCATTCACCGCGCGACTTAGTTAAATTCCTTTTTTGTCAAATTTAGCGCGATTTTGTGACTTCCTAATTAATCAAAAACTACTTTTCTTACACCTGATGCAGGTTAAGTACTAAACATAGTTCCAACTGCCTGCGGGAGTATTACCCAGCGCTAACCTACACTGAGTCAGCACGCCTGAAATTGGGTGACTAAAGTCTCTCTCCTGATTCGTTTATTGCCGTTGTGCCGACTAACCAGCCAGTGTTTTTGTTAAAATATGCAAGCGGTGTCGTGAGAAAGTCAGCAAATATCACTTGTCTATGCTTGTTGTAGGCTGAATACATGTTTCTCTTATCAGTCACTGAGACAGTCCACAATGCTGAATATATGTTTCTCTTATCATTCACTAAGACAGTCCACAATGCCGAATATATGTTTCTCTTATCATTCACTAAGCCAGTCCACAATGCTGAATATATGTTTCTCTTATCATTCACTGAGACAGTCCACAATGCTGAATATATGTTTCTCTTATCATTCACTAAGCCAGTCCACAATGCTGAATATATGTTTCTCTTATCATTCACTGAGACAGTCCACAATGCTGAATATACGTTTCTCTTATCATTCACCGAGACAGTCCACAATGCTGAATATATGTTTCTCTTATCATTCACTGAGACAGTCCACAATGCTGAATATATGTTTCTCTTATCATTCACTGAGACAGTCCACAATGCTGAATATACGTTTCTCTTATCATTCACTGAGACAGTCCACAATGCTGAATATATGTTTCTCTTATCATTCACTAAGACAGTCCACAATGCTGAATATATGTTTCTCTTATCATTCACTGAGACAGTCCACAATGCTGAATATACGTTTCTCTTATCATTCACTGAGACAGTCCACAATGCTGAATATACGTTTCTCTTATCATTCACTAAGACAGTCCACAATGCTGAATATATGTTTCTCTTATCATTAACTAAGACAGTCCACAATGCTGAATATACGTTTCTCTTATCATTCACTGAGACAGTCCACAATGCTGAATATATGTTTCTCTTATCATTAACTAAGCCAGTCCACAATGCTGAATATATGTTTCTCTTATCATTCACTAAGACAGTTCACAATGCTGAATATATGTTTCTCTTATCATTAACTAAGACAGTCCACAAAGAAAAAACGTTTATAATATAATTCTGCAAAGAGAGGATGAATTCTCTAAAATTAAAAACTTTCCATACAAACGATGCTTTAATGGATCATATATCGATCTCGGTGTTTAGCTATATTTCCCGAAAAAAAATCTACGCCAAATTTTGCATGCCAGCATAAGTAAAGACCATTGGTTAATGCAAAGAACGAAAGTTTAGCAAAGCATATCTAAATAAGACGTACATGATGACATAGTCAACATGCTTATTTAACATGATAGCGTGTTTAATGTATAGTACTTGATATGAATATGATAAACTACAATACAAACATCAGCTTTAATTGTAGAGTTAATGGATTTGTTTTAAGAACATTATATTGCCAGCAAGTATAAAGGAATTTTGAGAAAATTTTTCATAAATGTTTTACAGTCATAGCCATAAATAACGTACTATGTATACTATAATGTAAACTTTGAAGCACAACTTATGCAAGTAAACTTAACAGGTGAACACTTCATATTAAGAGTCTGAATTAATTTTGTGGGTAAATTATTTTATTTACCATCTGAAATTTCCTTATGTGGAGGTTACGTTAAGAATTCTTTATGATATTAATAAATTACACTGTGGAAATGTCAGAGTACCTAAGACACAAAAAAACAGGGCCTTAATGTAGTAAAGAATTCTAATGGAATGGGAACAACGTATGAGAGCACACAGGGAACAATTTATACAATAAAGGTACCTAATGGGATATTCATGCACCTAATTAATGTTAAAATGAAATTATTCAAGATCACCATAATACTTTCAAATGAAATCCTTCAATCAAATGTAATCCTATGCTTCTATTTATGATGGTGTTGATATATATGCTTCATGCACTAGGTAATATTTGTTTGCCAGAAATTTCTAGAACTCTCCAAATGTTAAACCCGAAGAAGAATATGGGGATGTTTGAATATTATTTGCTTATGACCATAGCAGCTTTAACTAAACAAAATGTTAAGAAGTAGAGTAGTTTGTTATGTCTACACTCAGTGTAATATATTACCCTGACTTTAGTTTATGTCTAGCCATAACAAATTATTTCTTTGTGTAGTTCTTAATGGCCTGGTTATTCAAATAAGAGCTTACATCAGGTGATGTTGTCAGAGGGGGCCTGAGCACCACAGCAAAATTCTTGCCACCCCTCCCTCCAATGTTATGTTTTACATATATTATATTATTAAAACGACAGCAATGGTCCTTCGATTTTGACTGGCCCCCCTTCACTGAAAATGCTAGCTACAGCACTCTTTAAAACATCATTGAATTATTTGACAACAAAACAGATATTGAAGATGTTATGGATTTATTTGCAAAAGCCATATAAGCAAAACTGAGTTGGCATTTTAGTTTCTTGATTGTGATATATACTTGTTTATAATTTAACTGTTCAATAACCTAAGCAATGTTACCTTTGTGCTATCTTTTGACATTTCTTTCTGTTGACACTCAGTTCATTTCAGTTAAATAAAATCTTGCATAAAAATTTTAGATGAACCGATGAAAAATGAATCCATAAATGAGTTGGAAGAGCATGTATGTATTATTGTAGGTTAGGTTTGTAAGAGCCAAGCCTCCCATGTATAAATTGTTTTTATTGTGTTTTGGGAATTCCAATAAATTCTAATGCAGAGGAAAACCAGTCAAAATACAATTTGAATAGCTTAATGTTAGCATTGTGCAATCAATGAAATCAACAACAAAAACACAGGCGCTTTCTGCAATAAAATTTGAAAATTTTCCTGGGGGAACATGCTCACTCCTAGGAAGGTCGCACCAATAAACCACGCAACAATTTTCCTAAGTTCATATGTGGAGCTGAAAATCCCTCGCTGATCATTATAACTTTACGTTTGAATGAGCTCATTACATAGTGCATAAATATAATAATTCCTTATGAAAGTTGGCAGCTATCACGATGCAAGCTTTTTTGTCAATTTTTAGATTTATAGCAGTTGATTAGTCGGCTTTAAAACACCAACCAAATGTTTGTTGAAGACCTACTACTACGTACATATTACGACGTACGTATATTATCATTGATTTAACTCAATTAAATGATGGGAAGCGTTCATCATACCTTTTTATTGAAGGAGATAAAAAATCTTTGCAATCATGATCATTTACTTCCTCAAGAGTAATTCTATCTTTCCCCTAAAGTTGACGTGGCTAGAATGATATTGATAAGGAAACATTCAGTGAATGGAACTGAGTACAACATTCAAAATTAGCAAAAAGTGTGAAGTTGACACTAGATTTACTTTAACACAATTGAATGACTTCAGTGTCAGAACCAAAATATAAATCCGTGTTTTAGTAGTATACAGAGCGTCGTTTCTGGCCCAACTCAACTTGAGAAAGCGTCGTTTCTGGCCCACCTCACAGTTTGATACCTATTATACGTAAGTCTAAGCAACCCAGCCCTAGTTCGCGTACGTATGCTAGCATAATTACAGCGAATGTCAAACCCAGGACAACGGCAGGAGCCAAAGACGGCCGGCCCACCCCCCGCGCCCGCGCTGCCGGCCGTCGGGGTCTATTAGTTCTGATGTGAGTATTATTTAGAGAGAAATTCTCACATAGAATATACGTCTTGACACATTATCATGAGGCAGGGAAAGAACAAGTGTGCGTGGTTACTACCCGTAAAGTTCACCACATGTGGGCGAAACTCCATAAGTGAATACTGCGGACTTCATATGAGGCGGTTAAGGGAAGGCGGGCGACTTCCACAACCATGTCGTAAGTGTGGAGTCGGACCACAGGCAGAAACTATCCTTTGTGAAGCCTGCGGTGTGAATAGGGTGCATCATAAGGTCGTTTATGCGGAGAAACAAGCAAGAAAGTGATTGCTAGAGTACTCGCCGAATTAATTTCGATTTAGAGATTTATCTCACATAGGGTATACCATTAAAATTGTAACAGTCGAGATGGATGTTATTGTTAAGGATCTTATACAATTATATAAACAAGGTGTGATCAGCGGAGGCGCTGCATGACTCTCTTGAGGCTCTTCAAACGCTATTCCCCAAACTGCGCCAAGAAATGTCACTCCGCCAATCCCCAAACCGCGCAGGCCTATCCCCAAACCACGCAAGCGCAGGCCTATCTCAAAACCACGCAAGCGCAAGCCTATTCCCAAACCACGGAAGCGCAAGCCCGCCGAGCCTACCGATGATGAACTTCTGGCTGAATTTAAACCACATGCCCCACAGGGCTCCTCCCCACCACCTACGGAACTTAAGTAAGATGAAACGAAGGCCTTCAGCTATCAGCTGAGAGGCTGGAAAATGCAGGTGCTGAAGAGACACCCTCCGAACGTGATTTGATGGCTTTCCTCAAAAACGCCCAGCTCTACATCAAACGCAAACTCCTCGAGGAGCTATTAGCTCCGTTGAGTTTCGGAAGGATGAAGCAAATGGTACTGAAGTGCTTCAAGCACCAGTGTTCCGGACAAAGCAAATCACGCTGCTACAGGGGCATGAGATTCCGCAAGCCCTACATGAAGCCTTCCCAACAATTCTGGAGAGATTGGAAAAGTTCACTCGGAAAGGGTCTGGGTGGATAGTGGATCGTGGTAAAACATTCTGACTTGACATCGCTCACTACCAGCCTTTACGCGGAGGCTCATACCTTCCTCTCCCCACCGCGGTCAAGAATAAGAAGACAATCGTCAACGTGAAAAACAAAGACGACGACTGCCTCCGCTGGCCTCTAAGGGCAGCGCTGTTTCCCGCAGCTAAGCACCCGCAACGGCCGGGCAAGTACCCCACTAAAGACGGCCTTGACTTTGCGGGAGAGAGCGCACCCACACCGCTCTCCCAGCTCGAACGTGTAGAGCGTCAGAACGACCTTGCTATCAACGTGTACGGTTGGAAAGGTGGCGTCGTTCCTTGCCGTCTGAGCAAAGTAGAAAGAGCTCGCAAGACTGTGAATCTTTTCCTCGTCTCGGATCCGAATGATCCTGAGAAATACCACTACACCTGGATCAAGAACTTTGACCGCCTTCTCAACCAGAGTGGCTATCATCAGCTGCATTTCTGTGAGCGTTGCCTTCACGGCTTCACCAGGCAGGATTTGCTGGAAGAGCATAAGCCTGAATGTTGAGGCATCAACCAGGCCGCGGTTGACATCAGAATGCCAACCCCCGAAAAAAACGACAAAATCCGCTTAGAGAACTGCCACAAGCAGCTCAAAGCACCGTTCATAATCTACGCCGACTTCGAGAGTCTGAGCTGCAAAATCGAGGGCCCCGTGCTTAACCCTGAAAAAGCGGAAACCAGCAAACCTCCAGGCACGAGGCATGCGGCAACTCGTACATAGTCGTTCGTTCTGACGGGGAAACGCAGCCGCCGCAGCTCTACTGAGGGCCCGACGCGGCCAAACATTTTCTGGAAGCGCTCCAAGAAAAAGAGCGTAAGATCAAGACGGTTTTGGCTAACCCCGAGCTTATGCACATGACAGGAAAGGACTGGGGGAGCCACAAGAAAGCCACAAATTGTCACGTCTGTAGCAAGCCCCTCGAAGGCGATTCCGTGCGAGACCACTGCCACATTAATGGCAAGTACCAAGGTGCGGCCCACAATGAGTGCAACCTGAATTTGCGGCTTAGCCAAAAAACGACAACCATACCAGTTGTCTTCCACAACCTGCGGGGCTACGACAGCCATCTCATCATGTAGACTATCGCAGAGACTGAAGGGAAGGTCACCTGCATCCCCAACAACGCCGAGAAGAACATCTCGTTCAGCATCGGCCAGCTCCGATTCATCGACAGCGCCCAGTTCAAGCTCTCAAGCCTGGATGGCCTGGTAAAAGCCAGCGACCCACGAGACCTGCGCATCACAGCGGACTACGAGCCGAACCTCCAGAAGCGTAACCTCCTGCTCCGCAAGGGGATCTACCCCTACGAGTACATGGACGGCCCCGATTCGACGAGGAGGCCCTTCCGCCGAAGGAGGCTTTCTACAGCAAGCTCTCCGGCGAAGGCATCACCTACGGCGACTAAACCCACAGAAAAAGGGTATGAGACACCTTCGGCTGCTCAAACCTCTGCGACTACCACGACCTCTACCTCCGGACCGATGTCATCCTCCTCACCGACGTCTTCGAGAACTTCCGAAAGCTGTGCCTCGAGCAATACCGGCTGGACCTGGCCCACTATTACACGAGCCCTGGCCTAAGCTGGGACGCTCTCCTCAAGCACACAGGGGTGGAGCTCGAGCTGCTCACCGATATCGACATGCATCTCTTCATCGAGAAGGGCCTGCGCGGCGGCATCAGCATGGCCAGCAGGCGCTTCGCCAAGGCCAACAACCCCAAGGTGCCACGCTACGATCCGTAGAAGCCCCAAAGCTGGATCCAGTACTACGACGCCAACAACCTGTACGGCTGGGTGATGTCACAGACGCTGCCGACAGGCGCGTTCGAGTGGGTCGCCCAAAAGGACGCAAAGGCGGCCCTGAACCAGCCTGCAGATGCAGAGAACGGCTACACTCTCGAAGTCGATCTGGAGTACCCAGAAGAGCAGCACGACAAGCACAATGCATATCCGTTAGCGCCAGAACGCCTGAAGGTCGACAACGCGTGGATGTCAGATTACCAGCAAAATCTCCTCAAACAGATGTATGGGGTGCGTCTCACGAGGTCGAAAAGCTGGTCCCCAATCTGCGCGACAAGACCCGATACGTCCTGCACTATCGGAGTCTGCAGCTCTATCTGCAGCTTAGCATGCGCCTGAAAAAGATCCACAGGGCACTCCGCTTCGATCAAAGCGCATGGATGGAGCCCTACATCCGGAAAAACACCGAACTCCGGAAGAAGGCAAAGAGTGACTTTGAATTCAACCTCTACAAGCTGCTGAACATCAGTGTCTTCGGCAAGACGATGGAGAACCTGCGAGAGCGTGTCGATGTGAAGCTGCTCTGGTCAAGCGAGACCGAGAGACTCCGCAAACTTATCGCCAAGCCAACATTCAATCGGCATCTCATCTTTGGAGATGCGGGACACCTTGCAGCCGTTCACATGAATAAAAGCAGTCTGCTGCTCAACCGGCCAGTTTTCGTGGGCATGAGCATTCTCGACCTCTCGAAGCATCTGATGTACGACTGTTTCTACAACTATCTCAAGGTGCTGTACGGGTCGTCAGCAGAGCTCCTCTACAACGACACCGACAGCCTTGTGCTGGAGATCCAGACTGAGGACGTGTACGCCGACATGAGACGCAACGCCGGTCAGTACAACACCAGCAACTATCCCAAAGACCATCCGCTGTTTAGCACAGCCAACAAGACGGTGCTGGGGAAAATGAAGGACATGTGCGCCAGGGCGCCTATCGCCGAGTTTGTGGGACTCAGGCCCAAGATGTACTCTATCCTGAAAGCCGATGGTCTGGAGGAGCGCAAAGCCAAAGGTGTTAAAAAGGCTGTCGTGAAAAAGCATATCAGTCATGCCCGGTACAAAGAGGCGCTCTTCGAAGCAAAGTGCTTCCGCCACGGTATGGATATGCTGCACAGTCGCGGGCATCAGATCTTCGGCGAGCACGTCAACAAGACATCGTTGAGCCCGCTGGACACGAAGTGCTGGATTGCGGCTGATAGGATCTCTACCCTAGCATACGGGCATAGGGAAGCCTGTGCGCATGGGGGAATATCATCACATCAGAATAACAGAAATAAATGCTTTCCACGGCTAAGACAACGGTTTTTCAGTACCAAAGGGCACCACTTGGAGCTCCTCGCGCACAAACGCGCGCTCGAGCCCATCGCTCAAATAATACAAGGCAGGCTTCCCGCCCTCAACCACAGCCCGCTCGACCTGCTGGGAGGTCACACTCCAGATAGGATCAGTCCCCCTACGCCGTTCGCCACCCTTGAGTTCTCCGGGTGCATACAAATGCCGCACCATAACATCCGATGGCAAGCCTTGCTCCTTGAAACCAACTGGACGAAGTGCGGGCGCAGCGTGTTTGGCCATGACGCTCTTCTTCCGAATTGCAAGGGAAGGCTTTTCGCCAGTCAAACAAGTAGTTTCATTATTGAGCACTTTAACACCCTCAGGTAATCGTGATACCCATTCTTTTTTCCGAGTTCAGGGCACAGCCAGCTCGCGATGATACTGGTAACCGAACAATCGCTCCGCCAATATTCAGCTAAATCTTTCTACGATCCCCTGATCTCTATGAACTCCAACCCTACCCCGTCGAATCGTGACACCACTTTTTTCACACGGTTTTTGCACAGCCCCACGAAACTCCGAGCCAGGGTTGACTTGTAAAACTTTAGGCCATCGAAGAGGCCCACGAGCATAAATGGACTCTAACGCCTTCCCAACATGGGTCGCTGTCTTGTCTGTGATTGCCTGGGCCTCCTT